CCCCGCCCCGGAAGCTCCCGCTGATCCCGCCCAGGCCCCGCGACAGGGCGCTCCGGGGTCTCGCCTTCCTGTGGGGCTTAGCCGAGCGTAGGTTGTCGGATCCGCCAGGTAGACGACGAGTGAGCCCCCGCTCTGCACTTCGTCTGCGTACCCCCGCCCCAGGAGCTCAGCGCCTGAGACCGCAGCTGTGCTTCCCGCCGAAATCGCTCAGACGCGCCCCTGGCGGCCCGCGGCTGCAAGCTTAAGAGCGCAGTTTCAATTTCAGGTTAATAACAAAAGGAGACGCACCTGGAGTTTCCCGGAGCCTTCTGCGTTTTTAAGCGTCGGGTGGAATTAGGGGTCCTTTGGCTGTAAACCGCGCTTGTTTGAAAATAGAACTCAGTCCTGCTCCTCTCAGCGGTAAGTCTTAGAGCAAAAATGTCAACTGCGTAATCCTGAGGCAGCGTCTCTTGCTCACTGTGGTTTTAAGAGTAGAACTGTTTGAGTAATTAAGATACGCAGGACAACCTTGCTCTAGTGTGCCACCAGCTGTAGGTTAATATTTATTTACAAATAAGGGTGAAATTGCTCCTTAGGCCCTACTGCAACACAGACGTAAATAAAAGGGTGAAGCCACGGTCCCTCTGAATACCCACCCCTTCCTGAACAGAGGATGGGGGTTTAAGCCGGCCCGTGTACTCCGTAGATAAACCTAATCAGTCATGGCACTCGGAGGCCCGCCCTGTTTATCTTGATTGGATCTACCTGAATCCGAACTAAATCCCGTCTAACCAGTACAGTGAAGGAGAGAGCACATTCTGGAGAGCCTCCCAGGAGCCTTAGGAGTCTGTTATAAATGCAGAATCTTGCCCTATCTCACGTACGTTGTTTCAGAATCTCACATTTTAACAACATCCTGTACAGTACAGATAATTTGAATCTCCAGTTGCGGGACCTAAGAGCAGTATATTTTCACACTCCAGCGATTACAACGTGTGCTCGTGTGAGACCCGTGCTCTCTATCAGTGCTTCAACGTGTGTGCTCGCGGGCATGCGCGCCCCATTTCAGTCTTGTGAAAATTGGCTTCAGCGTGTCTGGCCGCTCCTACGCGTGCATGTACAAGGAGGGTCCCCCATGATGTTGGTCTGCAGACCACACTGGAAGGAACCAGGAGCTGGGGTAAACCATATAAAAGAAGGTATTCAGGTCATTTAAGATGCCTGAGTTCTACCTCTCAGATTCCACTGGGGGCTAGCAGGAGGGACGGTTGAAGCTTTTTGAAAACCATCTTCCAGAGAATTTGAAATTAAATACCTTTTATACAGGTTCCCCCAACACTTCCGGGATAGTATCTTATAATCACAGGAGGCTATAAAGACAAGTTTATCTTTAACACGAGGCACTTTTAAGTGAAATTAACTTGACTTTCCCGGTTTTACCTTTCCCAAACTAAGAATGTAGTTTAGTTCTCCAATGTACTCCTGAACTTCATATATCCTGATCCTTTGGGACACCTTCATCACTTGGCTGTGGGTGATGGTAGTAATGTTTTTCCTACTGAAAAGCATATTTTAACATATACTTACATTCTTGTCAGTTAATTAAAATATCAACATCAGGGCAAATACAGGTCACAAGAAATGAAGTTTATCAAACAAAACTGGGAAGGAAAGACTTGGGTATCTCCACCCTGAACCTCAGGGAGTCTTACAAATTGTAAATTCTGTTGAATAGTTTCTGGCAAGCAGACTGTGGCGCTCCTCCCAGTAAAGGTCTGGCAGCTTCTGGAGTCTCTCACCTCCTGCCCCTGAGGTCCCGACCCGGAACTTTTCTGGCCTTGTTCCACCCCCTCCCTGAAGAAGCCCCTCCCACCCTTAGTATTTAGATATCCTCACAGAGCTTAGAGTTTTCTAAGTCTCATCTAGGCTAGTGAGTGTTTTCTTGCTGTTATCCTTTGTATTACCATATGAAAAGGTAAATCTTTTAAATGCTATGGGGGCTGTCCTGGGTGTGTTCTTTAATTATGGAAGCTTCATGGCTTTAAAAGAATTGCTGCCCCAACCTGCTCTTCCCTGGAGAAAAGGAGCTGGAGCCCATCCTTGCCCCGGCACCACCATCCCTGTTTGCTCTGGTGAGTGCTGGGCCACTGAGGCAGACGGCCATATCGCTCTTTTTTAGGACAATTCGTTACCTACCAGGAGTGTCTCCGACTGTGGGCATCCCCTCCCCCCCGGGTTGTTCTTTAAGGTGAGCTCTTTTAAGAAAAGTAATTTCGGTTTACGTTTGGTATATTTAAGTAGGAGATTTTTAAAGCATGAAGTAAAAGCTTTATCATTAGCTTTAAATCTAAGCGCAGAAATCTATAGCACTCTTTTACTGAGTTTTAGTTAATGTCGTGAGCACTGTAAAACTCTACAAGGAATCCAAATGTAGAAGATTCTGAGGGCAGAGTGAGGATATTGAATTATGTTTGCATTTAAAATTAGGTTTGAGTTTCATTGAAAGAATACGGAATTACATGTCATAGGATTTCTTGCAAGAAGTGGAACAGAAAAATAATTCCGGAGTATAAATAAACTTTTGTAGATAGGTGTTTGAGAAAAGAATGCTCTTCTCCTTTCCTTCAGAGAAGTCACTTTGTTTTTGAAACTTTCTTTTCTGAAGTAAAACACTTCTAATCTGTAATGTATTGTTAGGTATTTTAAGTAATTCTCCTATGAAATGTTTGTGTTCGCTTATGCTTCCTGCATGTCTTTCAGCCTAGACTGCCATATTGTAGAGGGAGGTGTTGACCTCACATGGCCATCAGTTAATCTCTTGCTAATCTTGGGCCTGCTCTGTTGGGGGTGGGGCCACAGTGACCAATGGAACCGACACAGCCTGTTCCCGGTAGGCTTTCCAAGCAGTTTTGAAGACACATTTTGAACAAATCAGAGCAAGAATGTTATGGGAGTGTAGAACCATGAGACTTAATTCAAAGGGGAAGATCTTGTGGAAAGGTAATATGTTTGAGCTGAGACCTTAAGGATTAGTAGGATTTGACTAGACAGAAGGTTGGGTGGAGTGTATTTGGAGAGAGAATTAATTATCACGTGTGTCAAATGCAAGGGAGCAGAAAGCCTGGCACATTCCAGGCATAGGAAAATGGATAAAGGAGGGTTTTTGTTTTTTTGTTTCTTTGTGTTTTTTTTTTTTTTTTTGTAAATAGGAGTGATGTAAGCTAGATAATTGTGTTTGTTGCAGGCCAAAGTTGCAAGGTCTAAGCGACCCGTTAGCACTGTGGTTTGTGTTCCACTGCCGGTGGGAAGCCACTGAGAACTTGGAACAGGAGAATGACATAAAGCCAGTTTTAGGAGAACACTTGAGCTGCAGATTGGGTTGCAGTAAGGGCTAGCCATTACACTTGGAGAAGTTTAAGAACCAGGTAAGAGTATCCTGGCATGGGCTGTTGGTACTGGAATTTAGAAATGAGGAAGTAGAAATGAATATGAGGGCAATGCAGAAAGAAAAAGTTTGACAGTTGAAATCACAAAGGAAGGAATTATTGAGTCCTTACTGTGTCGAGAAATGGCTAGGGACTGCGTATAGAATTGTGAGAAACTTATTATTTGTTGAACTCGAGTTCCTGAATAGGATTTGGGAAATGTGGGTTAGGGTGGTGAATGGGATCATTCCAGAGAGAATGAATTCATTGGATTTGAATTCATTGGGTGAAGTTGTCCAAGGATTATTTCACTTTCTTTGTAGAACCTCGGGATGGCAGGTAAAGCTATTTATACCTGCAGCCAGAGTGCTATAGAAGAGTGTCAGAGAAAAAGGCTGCTTTCATTTGTGGTGTATAGGGGCTGTGGATTAGTTTTGTATACCAGTCTGGGCCTCAGGAAGCATAAGGCTGGGGACTTGAGTGTCTTTGGCCCAGAGCTAGTTGACCTTGATCTTGTGAGGCTGCCTAGAAAAGGACTCACCCAAGTCCAGTGGTATCCCTGCAGTTGAATGTTGAGGAAGGACTCCCTGGAAGAAGCTGAGAGAACCTATTTAGGGAATTAATAGGAAAGCCAGGAGATGGTTACATCATAAGAGCCAGAGGGAGAAAGGATTTCCCAAGGGAGTTGCTTAAATCCTGCTGCGGGAACAAGTAAAATGAAGACAAAAAAAAACCTCTTTTCTTCCCAGTGGAGTGAAAGGTTTTGCCCTTTTAATGGTAAGGAGTAGAGGTGACAGTAGAGGCCTGCCATCTGAGATTTTACTGAGAGGATCAGTAAATCAGCAAGTAGCTGGAGGCAAAGTTGGTGTCAGGGAAGGTATATTATGGCGTTGGTATAAATTGGCATATAATTGGTATAAATGCACATGCTGTGTTCAGTGAAGAGACCGTGAAGATCAAGAATTTCTCCGGGGTGAATGGAGTTGGGACCAGAGCAGGACTGATCCTGCTAATGATGTCAGCTAATAGGAGAAGCAACTTCTTGTTTATAAATTTTTAGACTTTATGGCAGTTTCTTCACATCGTTCCCATTCTTTGAACTAGGTGATCACCCAAAGATGAGGGAAGATTAGGTGAGGTTGCCACAGGTTACTCAGGGCTTTGGGAGATTGGGGTTGGTGGTAGAACTTAGGCAGTATTGAGGGCCCATTTTAAGGTTGGTGACCCTGATTCTACGGTAGTCATTCCCAACTGGGAGCCGTTTTACCCCCAGGGAACATCTGGGAATGTCTGGAGACATTTGGGGGTTGTCAACAACTGGAGAGGGGTGCCTTTGGCAGCTAGGGTAGAGGCCAGGGATGCTGCCTGACACCCTACGGTGCACAGGCCTGTTTCCCACAACAAGGAACTGTGTGGTCCAAAATGTGTGCCACTAGCCACTCAGTACAACCATGAAACAGATAGTTAATCTTCCTGGGCTGTTTTACTGGGCACAAACGATAAAGGAGAAAGAGCATATGATTTCCATTTGTTGTAGGGGGAAGGACTGAAATCATTACAAAATTATCCTTTCTCACGTTAGCAGTTTTAAAAATAAGTGCTGCATAGAGTGATTTTGTCAAATATTTAAATTACTATAAATCATAACGATTCAAAATGGTAATTTGTCAGTAATTGTTTTTCCTTTATACTAGTGCAGTTGAACCTTTCATATGTTACAAATTTGCTCTGCCTTTTCTCTAATAACCAGAAAATGCCCTTGCTCTAACCTGACCGGTACTAATTCCTCTATGATCATGGCACTTACCCTCTTGCCTTTTATTTTAGCAATGTAATCTCATGTTTTCCTCCAGTTCTGAAAAGTTCTCTTTTTCTAGATATTGGCTTATTTCATTCTTTTGTCTTCTCTTCTAGAACTTAAAATAATTTATGACCGTTAGAAGTGATAGGTTTTGGCTTCAAAACTTCCATATTGCTATTTTATTTTTCTAAGTCTCCTAATTCTTTTTCTGTCTGAATAATATGTACATTTGGGGGGGAGACCTTGGATTGAATCTCAGCTCAAATGTATTTTGTGTATTTTCTTAACATTTAATTTTGCTTCTCTTTTTTCATCTGCAAAATCAGAAAAACAACATTTACTGCATATTCTTGTACATAATAAATGAAAAATTATGTAAAGTAGTTTTTGCTTTCTTTTCAGCCACAAAAAGCTGCACCCAAGCTTGTTTGACGTCAGTCCTCTCAAGTGTCCATGATGCTGGGCCCCGAGGGAGGTGAAGGCTTTGTGGTCAAGCTCCGTGGCCTGCCCTGGTCCTGCTCTGTTGAGGATGTGCAGAATTTCCTTTCTGACTGCACAATACATGATGGGGCTGCAGGCGTTCATTTCATCTACACTAGAGAAGGCAGGCAGAGTGGTGAGGCTTTTGTTGAACTTGAATCAGAAGATGATGTAAAAATGGCCCTTAAAAAAGACAGGGAAAGCATGGGACACCGTTACATTGAGGTGTTCAAGTCCCACAGAACCGAGATGGATTGGGTGTTGAAGCACAGTGGTCCAAACAGTGCCGACACCGCCAATGATGGCTTCGTGCGGCTTCGAGGACTCCCATTTGGATGCACCAAGGAAGAAATTGTTCAGTTCTTCTCAGGGTTGGAAATTGTGCCAAACGGGATCACATTGCCTGTGGACCCCGAGGGCAAGATTACAGGGGAAGCCTTTGTGCAGTTTGCCTCACAGGAGTTAGCTGAGAAGGCCCTAGGGAAGCACAAGGAGAGAATAGGGCACAGGTATATTGAAGTGTTCAAGAGCAGTCAGGAAGAAGTTAGGTCATACTCGGATCCCCCTCTGAAGTTCATGTCTGTACAGCGGCCAGGGCCCTATGACCGCCCTGGCACGGCCAGGAGGTATATTGGCATTGTCAAGCAAGCAGGCCTGGAGAGGATGAGGTCTGGTGCTTATAGTGCAGGCTATGGGGGCTATGAGGAGTACAGCGGCCTCAGCGATGGCTACGGCTTCACCACTGATCTGTTTGGGAGAGACCTCAGTTACTGTCTCTCAGGCATGTATGACCACAGATACGGAGACGGCGAGTTCACTGTCCAGAGTACCACTGGACACTGTGTCCACATGAGAGGGCTACCATACAAAGCCACAGAGAACGACATTTACAACTTCTTCTCTCCACTCAACCCTGTGAGAGTCCATATTGAGATTGGCCCTGATGGAAGAGTGACGGGCGAAGCCGATGTTGAGTTTGCCACTCACGAAGAAGCTGTGGCAGCAATGTCCAAAGACCGGGCCAACATGCAACACAGATACATAGAACTTTTCCTGAATTCCACAACTGGGGCCAGCAATGGGGCGTACAGCAGCCAGATGATGCAAGGCATGGGGGTGTCGGCCCAGTCCACTTACAGTGGCCTCGAGAGCCAGTCTGTGAGTGGCTGTTATGGGGCTGGCTATGGAGGCCAGAACAGCATGGGTGGATATGACTAGTTTTGTAGGAGCATTTGAGTTATTGCAATCAAATTTTCACAGGCAGCCAACAAGCAGTGAAAAGCAATTACTACTCTAGAGGAAGCTGTGGGACCCATTTTGCACCATGAGTTTGTGAAATCTGGATTAAAAAATTACCTCTTCAGTGTTTTCTCATGCAAACTTTCTTCTAGCATGTGATATTGAGTAAACTAAAACTATTTTCAGCTTTTCTCAATTAACATTTTGGTAGTGTACTTCAGAGTGATGTTATCTGAGTTAAAGTAGTTTTGAGTACATTAAATGGATCTTTTACACCACATCACCGTGAACACATTGGGGAGACGTACTTTTTTGGAAAACTCAAGGTGCTAGATCCCTAATTCAAAGAGGAACATTTCTCATTTCTCATGTTTGTTCATTCTAGTTTATTTTCATTTAAAATCTTTTAGGTTAAGTTTAAGCTTTTAAAAATAAGTTAGTTTTGAAAATTGAGACACATTACTAATACTGTAGGAATTGGTGAGGCCTTGACTTAAAACTTTCTTTGTACTGTGATTTCCTTTTGGGTGTATTTTGCTAAGTGAAACTTGTTAAATTTTTTTGTTAACTAAATTTTTTTCTTAAAATAAAGATTTTTCCACAATGACTGGCACCGACTATATACTCACCAAAAAGTAGCAAAATGGGTGGTTGAAGAGAACTTGCTTTAATACTGCTGTATTTCAGTGTGAATTTCAAAATAATTTAGCACATGAAATCTAAGATTTCCCTCTATTCCTATACCACGGTTAAATTAAAAGTTTGGTTTTTAAAATGTTAAATATGAGTGGTGGAAATGGTGACTGGAAACGCATCCCAGAGTATTAAAATAGAAGCACACAGTCCCAGCCTCCCGTGAGACTAGAGTGCTGTTCTTGATCAGTTGTGTCCTGGTCTTCCCTTGTTTTATGCTGGAGTCCTGTTCATTTCTCATAGCGGCCCTTCATTTTGGGTGCCATACACTGGCAGTTATTAACCACAGTTTTTTTTTGTTGTTTTTGTTTTTTTTTTAAATATAAAATGTGCTATTTTTTTTTCATACTAGCTCAAACACTCCCAGGTTAGCAGTTACGGGTTATTGCAGACTTCACATAAGCTTGGGACAGATCTGTTTCCAAATTAGAAAATCGCCTTCCACCTAGCAAGTAGAGAACCATGTCCAAATTCAAGGCAGCTCTGCACACAGCTTACTGCCTGCCATCACTTTTAATTTGACATAAACTAAGACCATCAAGACTTTAAGATGTGAATGGAGTTTATTTAAAACACCTTTTTGATGGCCACTTAATGATTTTGCAAACTTTGTGTCCCTACTTGTAGCCCAGATATACTAACTTCACCAGTTTTGGGGTCTTCATCTGGTATCATTTCAAAGGGACAAGCTTCATTTATAGACAAAATACTTTATTGATTAAGCCCTGAAGATTTTGCTAAATAAGCATTTATGTAAACTAGAATCTTACCCCAGCCCCTCTCATCCTCCTATGGCCTCATAGCCCCACCTTACCTGCCTTTCTTCCCACTGGTGTTCTGCAGGTTCAGATAGTTTTAGATAGGGCAGCAGCAATACCCAGGAATGCCAGAGGTTCCGGGACGCAGGCTGAACCTGGAAGGTCCGCTCTGATGAGTAGGTAACGTGAGATTCTGGGGAGGCAGAGCTCATGCACCTGATGTGAGCCATGTTCACAGGGTCTCTACCCATCCCATGGGTCTACCATTCTCCCAAGTCTCCAGCAATAGTGCATAGGGATGCTAAGGCCCTGGGTGGTCAAGACCCAGAAACCAGATAGAACACCTGAGAGCTTAAGAAACCTGCAATGACAAAGATTTGATAGGGCAGTGAAGTTTTAAGGAGTATATTCACCCCGTATAAACTTCCCTTGTTAGGTTTAGGGTCCAGATAAGGAAGGAGTGGGCTCCAAGAACCTGGGATGGGTTAGCCGGAGGAATGTGCTATATTATCCGAAATTGTTGGGCCAGCAGTAGTGGCTCCCTCCTACTAGAAGTAAAATTATTTGGAGGCCTCACCTGTGGTAGGTGATTTATAAGATGTCCTCCTCATCAAAGTCCACTTCCGGTATTGTTTCTAGAATGGATTGGCAGACTGCCTGTCAAATCCAGCCTGCTGCCTGTTTTTACATGGTCCATGACCTGAGAATGGGTTTTACAGATGAATCAATTTAATGTCAGGGAGCCCCAGTTAAAAACTCCCCAAATGAATCCCATTCTTATTAGTAGACTAAAAAATTTAAATGTGTCTTGGCCTGCAAAACCTAATATAATTTGCTATCTAGTACCTTCAAGGAAATTCTGATTTTTCAGTTCCAGAAAACTAGTATCAGGACTTAGCATGACACAGAAGGGAGAGGCCCCACTGCAGGAGGAAATGCAGATGCTACCAAACAGCCAGGGCCTGATTGATCTGTGTGGACGGGGTTGGGGGGGGTCTGGAGGATGCTGGACCAGAAGGTTGAGTGTAAATGATAACCAGCATCTCCTGTGACTAAGGATTTAAATTTTGAATAAAATGCTTGGAATCCATCCTAACAATCTGCTGCAGTCAACTCTTGAAGCTTGGAGACAGCAACCTACTGGAGGAAGGGATGCTGGCTGTTGAGAAAGGGGTCATCAGATTCAGGTGGGCATGTTAGGATTTACTATATGAAGGCAGGAAAAACCGCTAAAAGTGTGCTGTAGAGGGGCACCTGGCAGGCCCAGTTGAAAGAGCATGGCAACGCTTGATCTTGGGCTCGTGACTTCAAGCCCCATGTGGGTATAGTGATTAAATAAATTTTTAAAAATGTTCTGTGGGAGGGCCCAAGGACACTTTTAAGTTGATAAAGGAAGTGCTAGGGAAGCGCACAAGCATTTTAAGCTTAATGGAAACACAGCCATGGTTGGCAGTACAAGAAAGGGTTAAAGGGATTCCATCACATGTGAGGTAAGCATGATTGCCATAATGGACAGTGAACCCAAAGGCAGTAAGGGGCTTCACCTGGCCAGATCTGTCGTTAAGACTAGGACCTCTGTATGGACAGGGTCCACACACAGGCACAGCTATAAGGTCTGTCAACTTTCTGCCCCCAGATATTACTCTTTGACTCTATGAGCAGAAAGCTAATTGAAAATCAGGATTTTCTTTGTTAGAGTGGGAATGTGAGAAAGCCAAGTTTGCAGGCCAATTTCATCTCACTGTAGGTCAAACAAGTTTGCAGACCCCTGCAGGTACCTCCCTGAGTGAATTAGTACAAAGGGGTACATTAGGCAGTTGACAGCTGCCCTTCCCCCTGCACTGGATCCTTGGCTTGTGAATTAAGAGCCATAATGGCAGGAAAGGCCAAGGGGAACCTCTTGGTGTTCCCCGTTCAATACTGTGAATAAGGAGAAATGTCACAACATCTGAGGGTTGAACCATGCTTGCAGACTAGAAAGGCAAACGGGCATCTGGGTGGCTCAGTTAAGCGTCCGACTTCGGCTTAGGTCATGATCTCACAGTTCGTGGGTTCGACCACCGCATACGGCTCTGTGCTGACAGCTCAGAGCCTGGTGCCTGCTTCAGATTTTGTGTCTCCCTCTCTGCCCTCTTCCGCTTACGCTCGGTCTCTCAAAGGTGAATGTTCAAAAAAAAAAATTTTTTTTTTTAATTTAGAAAGGCAAGCAAATGCCTTTTTAATTTACTTGTGTGGTTTCAGCAAACAGCAGATGCATTCTGGTAGAGGATAGTGGATGACCAGGAAATTAACCAAGTTATCTCAGCACAATTCAGTGCTTAATGAGGTGCCCTTGCCAGTATAAATCAAGTCTCCAGCACTTGAGAACTCCTGACCTAATGAATATATTTCCTTTAATCAGCATCAAGGAGGAGATTAAAAATTTTAACCTCATAACATTAGAACACATTCCCTGACTTCTCCAGGGCTGTGGTAACTCTCCTGCTCTCTGTTACATAGTAGAATCTGGAGAGACATTGATCACCTTGCCGTGCTCCACTGAATTAATGACATCTTCATTGTGTTTGTTGTGGGAGGAAGCAGAATTCTGTGTGCTAAAGGGAGGAAGAATTCAGGGCTCTGCCACATCATGGAAGTTTTTTAAAGTCTGATAGTCTTGGGCAGGGATAGGCAAAACTAGGGTCCTGGGGCCACATCTGGCCTGCTACCAGTTCTTTGTAAATGTTTTATTGGTACACAGCTATGTCCGTTTGTTTTGTCTGTGGCTGCTCTTGTGCTACATTGACAGAGAGGTGGGCAGTTTGATTTGAGACCGTGTGGCTCACAAAGCCTCATGTATGTACAATCTGAGACTTTACAGGAAGTGTTTGCTAACTTTTGGCTTTGGGTGGATCTGGGACATTTCTTCCTCCAAAGTAAAGGTCAAGACACTTCATCACTAAAACACATAATTTTGGGGAAGACATTTTGGATTTTGGATTTATTTCATTACATGAAAATACTGCTCCTACCCAATTATTAGGTGACCAAAAGGCTGCAGGGGTCCTGCAAGCTGCCCTGCCATCTGCCACAGAGGACAGAGTAGGCCCCATGATCGAGGTATCTGTGTTCATAAATGGTTTTGTGTGGTGTCTCTTGACAAGTCTCAATGAACAATCCCAGCTCAGACCCTGAGTGTTCAGGCCCTGAGTGAATCAAGGCCGTGCCCCTATATCAGAGCTATTTACTGTTCCAAACGCTCACTCTGCATTAACCGCCACCCATGCTCTGTGGTGTTGGCAGAGGCATCAAATCATAAGGTTCTTTTAAGGCATCTCAGTTTTGTTTTTAGTTTTTGTGTAAAGCTTCTTGCACATACTCCATTAGATTTGCTTCCAGTATTATATTTTACATGGTATCTCTGATTTGCTTAGCTTGTTGCTGGGACTTCTTAGGACTAAAAAAAAAAAAAAAAAAAAAATACTATGGATTTTTTTTTTTTTAAAGCAAACTCCACCCAACGTGGGGTTTGAACTCACAACCCCAAGATCAAAAGTTGCATGCTCTACCGATTGAGTCATCCATGTGCCCTAAGTGCCCCAAGAAATACTGTGGATTTTTATATTGAGTGTGGCCTTGCTGAATTCAATAAATTTACTTATCAATGCAGGTTTAAGTGTAGATTTTCTATGTAAAAAAATGCTGTTTGCAAACAATGATAGTTCTGTTTTGTTTTTTTCCTAATCCCTATGTACTTTATTCTTTTGTTGCCTTGTGGCTTGCTCTTAGATCAAAGTTTGTCTTTTATCATTAGAAACGTGATGCTGAACAAAGTGGAGTGAGAGGACATCCTTGTTTTATTCCCAGTTTCAGAGAGAAAGCTTTTGTTATTTCTCCCTTAAAATATTGTCAGGGCACTGGCTGGCTCAGTCAGTGGAGCATGCGACTCTTGATCTTGGGGTTATAAATTCAAGCCCCACGTTGGGTGTAGAGATTACTTTAAAAAAAATCCTTAAGATAAAGATTGTTTTTTTGGTCTCATACCCTTTATTAAGAGACTTTGGGGCTCCTGGGTGGCTCAGTCGGTTAAGTGTCCGACTTCAGCTCAGGTCATGATCTCACGGTTCGTGGGTTTGAGCCGTGTGTTGGGCTCTGTGCTAACAGCTCAGA